CAGCGTTCTTATTTATAATGTGGCCTGCGGCGCCTGGCCCAACCTCCGCTGCCAATCATATTTTATTTAGTACTCTACATGAGTGAGAGGAATCAATCGGCTATTCAGCTATGAGTAGGCTCTTGGGTTTTTAATTTTATATTATCTTGAATAGATATTGATGATGATTTGATTCAACGAATTAATAATGCCTCTTTTTAGGTTTTTTTCCCCTGTTTGATTTGTTTGTTAGCAAATTTTACTTGTTCACATTCTACTGGCCAAGCAAAATCAGGAAATTTTGATCGAACGGATTAAAAATGAGACGAGTTGTGATGAAGTGAGAGTTTGAAGTGTTTGGTGCAAGTTGTGTTAGAAGTAGAGCTGGTAATATGGGTTGAGCCCGCAAGCTCAACCCGCCAACCCCCTAAGAAGTGACGGGTTTAGTTGATAAAAATCAGACTCGTTTTAAAACGAATATTTTGATCCCGCAACAGCTAAGATTGAACCCATAGCGGGCTAACCCGCAGGGTTGACGGGCCGGCCCGTTTTATTTTATTTTATTTTTAAAAATTTTTTCGTCCCTCAAATATAATTATGTTTACTTCTTTGGTTATTTATCTCATTCTTATTATTTAAAATTATCATAATGTAATATATCTTTTACTTTGTATTATGAATTTTACTTATGACAAAGTTAGTTGAGCAAAAAGAAGGCGATTCTACTTATGAAGCGTAACCAGATAATTTCATATCTTCATATCATTCTTTAAATTATATCAACATTGAATGGTAGCTCATGGTTAAGTATTTGATAGTGATTTGCAACATTGTGTTTGTATTATTATTAATTTAAATTTTTAATGTTTTAATTTGGGATATATGTTTAATAATTTAGGATGATATATCATGTATGCTTTATAGTAGTATTTTGAAATGTTTAGAACTTTGGATTTCATATTTTATTTATAATAATTTCTATATGCATATTTTATTTTAGGTATTTAAGAATTAGAATAAATTTTATTAAAAGAAAACAAAAGGCACCAAAAAAATTTTAACAAAAAAAGTGACGGGTTGGCGGGCCTAACCCGTTAACTCATCCTGGCGGGTTGGATTAGAAAAATATCATCCCGTCAGAAATCGATTTTTTTATGACTAGCCGATCGGTCTTTGAGCCTATCACAAGCCAACCCATTGGCTCTAGTTAGAAGCGGAGAAACTGAATCAGTGGGCAATTTTTTTTGGGGGGGGGGGGGGTTCTCAGTAGCGACGGCGTTACTCTGTGTTTGAATGAAGATGTTACATTATATCGTATGTACGTACGTTGATCACTACAGCTCCTGACGCCTCAACCTCGTCAAATTCGAATTCGTCTCTCCTTCGGCCTCCGCCTCCTCCATTTTCTTGTATATTGATCAGAAGTGGGAAATTTACAAGTGAATGAAAGCAGGTGTGGTGTAGAGAGTGAAAGAGGAGTTGAATGTTGAAGGTGAAGAGCAGATACGTAGAAGGGGGGCCCACAGGGAGAGAAAGAAGGGATATAAAAACAAGGGTTATGGTTGACGCCGCCGATCTCTAGCGCGCGCGCACACTTGAAATGGCTTCCACGATGTTTGACTCTACACTGACGCGGATAGCTTAGCTTCCCCTCTGAGCTGGTACTGAGCTACTGATTATCAAGAGCGAGGGGTAGGTTTGTAATTAGCGCGCTAAGTCGTTGTTCTTGGAGAGCGAGGAGCGCATGTTTGTAATTACCCGCCAACATTCACGTGAACCCGCACATTATCTCTAACGCCTCTCTTTCTTCCGATGTGGATTGTTTGACTTAACTCTTCGATTAGGATGCTCTTAAACTCTGAAATATCCATAATATAAAAATTAGTTGATTATAGATTAAGTAAGTAAATTAATTATTTATAATAAATAGGTATTATATTTCTTAAAATGTCTATGTTAATCAAATGTCATTTGATGAAATTAACTTTAATATATACAAAGACTACAAGAATTCTTTTTAAAAAAATCGATAAATATAAAAGATAAAGTTAATCGAGATTTTATGTTTATGACCAAATTAAAAGTCAAACTAACTCTTATATTAAGAACAGTAGATGGTACTAGTATTATTATACCACCTCGGGTTCTAAATATAATAGCTAGTTAACTAATTTGAATAAATTAAGAAAATAAATTAAGTTAGTTATTTGTTACAAACAGGTATTGTATTTTCTAAAATATTTTTGCTAATCAAGTATATTGGTTAGAATTATCATTATTAGAATGACTAACTTGAAAAAATAAATAAATAAATATGAGAAATAAAATGAATTGGGGTCTTATATTTATAACCAAAATAAAAGTCAAACAACATACTCCTCCGGTCCTTAATATAGGACTCAATTTTTGAGTTGATTTTGGTCCTAAATATAAGACCCATTTCTCATATTTATCAATTTTCTCTAAATTACCCTTATAGATACTCCCTCAACCATAATCAAGTAGAAGAGGGAGAGGGGGTATTAAGAAAGATGACTATGGTGTTTTAGGAAAAACGTGTCATATTTTTTATAATTAACTAACTTACCTAACTTCTTTAATCTAATCAAATTAGTTAAATGGATCTTATATTAAGGACCGGAGGAGTATTATATTAAGAAACAGAAAGTGGTATTAATCAATTAACAAAGTCCTTCACATAACTTTGCCACGAGCGGTGCTATGCATGATTTATACTCCCTCCAATCCAAAATACACGACATTTTTTTATCAGCTAGGGTTGCTTCAAAATCTCAAGATAGATCGATTTTAATTTGGAGGGTAGTAGATATAATATCAGATAGGATATATGGAGATATGTGTGTGTGTATGTATATATAGATAGTGGAAGCTCGAGAAAACCTGTAAGATTCTTCAATGAACCCTGGATGTTTCTTTCCTCAAAATCTACTGCGTTATATTGGAAGAACAACATATCCTTCCTCATGGTATAGAGGAAACCACGTAATCCAATTTCAAATTCATACTTAGCGTACTCACACGCATATTCTGAATTTTAATTAACAAGATTTTTTTATTGAAAAAACTCACAAATGTTTAATTTAATTTTTTCATTTTAGATAATTGCGAGCGAGCAGCTTCTAGAATATAAGCTAATATCTAATCCGCCGCATTAAAAAACTTCTAACGACGAGAGGGAGAGAGAGATCAAAGATTGATTTGGAGAGTATTTGGATAGAAATCAAATCATAGTTTTAGAAGTGTTTTTACGGTTTACAAAGTAAATATGTAGAGGAATTTATCTCGTTTTACAAAAAAATACATCTAAAATCATGGTTTAGAGGTTGTCAAACACTCCTTTAACAGCGACAGCGATGTTGTGAGCGTTTACATGGTTATGAACTCCTGTCAAACTCAGATTCAGGTTTCATGAGACTGTACATTGTCACTAAGGGGGTGTTTGGCTTTTTTGCCAAACACCCCCAGTTTTTGCCAAACCAAGGTTTTGGGCAAAACCAAGGTTTTGCCCAACAAAACCTCGGTTCCAGATAAGCAGCCGCCTGATCGATTATGCACTTCAATTATTGGCTCTCCCCAACAAAACCTTCAGCTTGCGAAGGACTTGGCTTCAACGGTCAGCTCACGGGAACAAGCACGCGGTATACTCTTCAGCTCACGGTCAAGATGTCTTCCGCCTCTTCTCTCCCATTCATCGCCGTCGGCCTCTCCCTTCAGCTCACCTGAAGATCTCGAGTTGCTCTGTTTCTCACTGGAGAAGAATCGAAGGAAAAAAGCCAGCCATCCGGTCCTGTGTCGTCGGTGAGATCTTCCCATCCCTCAGGAATATCAGCGCCGGCGACGTGTTTCTGGGCTTGCCAAGACATCACCGCGAATTGGGTTCGGCCGATCGGAGCCATCCGGTTCTGATCTCTTCGCTTTTAGTCCGTCTCAGGTCGCCTTGCTCGGTTCCACCTCTCATATCCAGAACTCCGGTAAGCTGCCTCCGCGAACTCCGGTTAGGATTCTCTGGCATGCTGTAGACTTCCGGTCGATTTGAAATGACGTCCGGTCCATTCCCCCCCGGTCGATATTCCCCCCCGGTCGATATCCCCCCACGGTCGATATTCCCCCCCGGTCGATATCCCCCCCGGTCGATATCCCCCCCACGGTCGATATTCCCCCCGGTCGATATCCCCCCCGGTCGATATTCCCCCCCATTTCGGTCTGTAATATATATGTGCTCACCGTAATTATTATGCTTTGAATCATTTCGGTCTGTAATATTACCTCCGGTCGATTTTTTCCCCCCCACACAGCGGTGGTTTCATCGATAACTTTGGATCATTGGTGGCTTCATTTTGTTTCCCCCACACAGCTGTTAATTTCGTTAATTTCGGGCTGACCGTTTGGTTTGGATGCTGGTTTCATTCTGTTGTGTGTGGCTGTTTGTTGTGCAATTTTGGTAGCTGGAAATTTTAAATAGGTGTGTGTGTCTTTTATTGAACATTCGTATGTTGTGTTTTGGAGACAGATCAGTCGATGATGCTGTGTGTATTCGGTTGGATTATGGGTGTTTGTGCTGATGAAATTATTTTTATTTCTCTAATGAAAATCCTACGAATGAGTTAACCAATTTCTATGTTTCAAATTTTGATCAGTTAACCAATAGTATAATTAGTGGTTGAACTTCAATTTTGGTCAGTTAACCGAAAAGAACTCCCTGAAATGATGAGAAAAAAAGTCATTATTAATTTTGCAATATCAATTATTAATGATGATACATTTTGCTAGAAAAAAGAACATGTGGCTATACTTGTTAAATACTATACCTGTTATATCATATCTCCTGGACTAAATGGTATGCTTTTTGGGTTGAACTTGTCATGACTGAACTGTTGTAATTGGTTTATAGCATAATGAATAAAAAAAATAGCAAGGCTTCGTGGGATATAAGAGCCACAAAGATCTTTATTGACCTGTGTATTGAAGAAGTTGAAAGAGGGGGAAGAAGAGGAACTAGCATGACAAAGCCTGCTTGGACAAGTATTGAGGGGAGCTTTACTGCAAAGACTGGGAGGGTTTATACGAAAATCCAATTAAAGAACAAATTTGATACCTTGCGAAAGGAGTGGCAGTTATGGGATAGGCTGCTCCGTGAGACAGGTTTAGGGTGGGATGCTGAAAGGAATACTGTTAGTGCCCCTGATGATTGGTGGGAGAAGAAAATTGTGGTAATCATTTAACTTTATTTGAACTTGTATTTTCTCCCATGTTAACGTTTTTTGTATAATGTATAATATTTTTGGTGTTGAATGCGCAGGAAGTTCCATGCTATGAGAAATTTAGAGAAAGAGGGCTTCAATTTCGGGCTGAATTGACTCAACTCTTTGGATCTGTAGCTGCGACTGGACCACATTCATGGACACCTTCTTCCATGACGCTTCCAAGCGAAGGAGTTCCCGAAAATGATATGGAAGAAGGGTCTGGAGATAGTGATGAAATATTGGGGGCACCAACTGGGATAAGCGGAGAGTTTAATTCGGTCACATTCAATGACAATAGTGGAGGAAGTGGAGGCAACACTGGGATGAGACGGGAAAACAGTCGTGGGGGTAGAAGCACAGGTGGCAGTCGACCTAGTAGCTCATTAGGGGTTAAAAAAAAGGGTGAATCCATGAAGAAGAAGAACACTGCCAGTATGAAAATAGCAGATGCATTAAGCAAGATAGCTCAAGCAAGATAGCTCATTGGCCATGCGCTTAGTAGTAGGATGCAGCAAGAAAGATTTCAGCATTCGGGGGAGACAATTAGTAGACATTTCCATAATGTCTTACTGGCATGCTGTAGACTTGCTATGTCCAATATCAAACCAAAAGATCCAACATTTCAGCATTTGCATTCAAAAATACAGCCCGGTGGTCAATACTGGCCCTTTTTCAAACATGCTATTGGAGCAATTGATGGAACACATATTTCATGCGTTGTTAATGCAACTGAGCAAACAAAATTTGTTAACCGAAAAGGAAGAGTGACACAAAATGTAATGGCGGTTTGCGATTGGGACATGTGCTTCACTTTTGTATTAGCCGGATGGGAAGGTAGTGCGCATGATGCTCGTATATTTGACCACGCTCTCACAACTCCTTCCATGAACTTTCCCCATCCGCCTCAAGGTATATTTTAAATTGCTACAATTTATTTATGCGACACTGTTACAAAACAAAGTTTATTGACACCAATCGTATATTTCATGTAGGCAAATATTATTTGGTGGATGCTGGCTATCCGACACCCGTGGGATACCTTGGTCCCTACAGACGTGAACGCTATCATCTCCCTGATTTTCGAAGGTCATCTGCACTTGAAAATGACAATGAGGCGTTTAATTATTTGCACTCAAGTCTACGAAGCACTATTGAAAGAACTTTTGGAGTTTGGAAGAGTAAGTTTGCAATTTTAGGAAACATGCCGAGCTATGACTTTCCAACACAGGTTCAAATTGTTTGTGCAACAATGGCCATACATAACTTCATTAGATCAACATCCATTTCTGATCCTGGTTTCATTCAGTTTGAACAAGAAGGTTCTTATGCAGAAGAAAATAACGATGATGATGGAGTTGGATCTTCACATATACCTTCATCAATAGAATCTTCATCTCATATGGCTCGACTTCGTGACTCCATAAGAGATCAAATTATTCACTATATACGAGAATAGTCATGTCTTTTTTTATTTCCTTCTTTCTTTTCAGATAATGTAATGTGTTGTTAAAAAAAAAGTACTTGGATAAATATTTTTCGTTGCAACCTCTATTATTAAGACAATTGATATGAAATTTTTTTGTGTGCTTCTTTAATTTTGTGAAAAAAAAAATTATGGGATTTTTTCATCTTTAAAATCTTTAAGAAATGATCATATTTTTTGTTGGCAAAACTAATTATTTTACAAAAAACATATTTAATTACTTTATTAAAAAATATGCGTATTAATTTTAATTATTTTATTAATATATATTATTTATTAATATATATACATATTTAATTATTTTATTAAATTATTTTCCAAAAAATATTTATTTATTTTATTAATTTATATACGTATTAAATTTTTTTATTAATATTATTAATTTACTTCAAATAAACATATATTATGAAATATATCTTATATGTAATTATCATTTAAATTTATGTCCTTTTTTGTAATTTCTACATGTAAAAAGCACTTCTGACAAACCTATCCAAAACACTCTCACTTTTTCAGAATCACTTTTTCAGAAAACCTATTCTCTCAAAATCTATTCTCTCCAGAATCAATTCTCTAGAAGCTATTCTCTAAACCATGGTTTGGCTTCATCCAAACACCCCCTAAAAGTCTAAAAGCCAGTAGAAAGAAGACGTGAATGAGATTCGTGACGTGCAATTAGATTGTATGGATTATTATAAATAATGAAAGCCGATTGGGATGGAGCTCAATAATAATAACGATATTGAAACTTGTAAATTGTGGGAGAGCTAGCTAGAAATCCTATGCTGGCGTCGCATTAATTGCTTCACATGATTCTTCACGGCTTCCCCCAACATCAAAGCTTTCCCCGATTTCTGATTGACGCTGACTGACGCTAACTATCCCCGCTGCTTAATATGCTGCTTAATATAAAAGTTAGTTAATTAATATAAACAAATTAAAAAAATTAATTAAATATTGTGTTTTTTAATATATTTATTAATCATGTGTATTAGTTATAATTTAAAAAAACATTTAATATGTACAACTATCATGATAATTATTTTAAAATAAATAAATATAAAAAGAACAGATTGTGATATTATATTTAGAACCAAATTAAAAATTAAACTATTTTTTATATTAAGAATCGGATATAGTATTTGCAAACCAAAAATTTCACGGTCACTCCTGGTAACGGCTAAACTTCTATCCAGCCATCACGGTAGTACTGGGAAAACGGGCCGGCCCGTCACGGGCTCGGGCTTAAACGGGCCGGCCCGTTTAAGCCCGAGTTCTAAAAATCACTCATTTTTTCAAGCCCAGCCCTTGAGATAACGGGCTCGGGCTAGCCCGCGGGCTTTTAGCCCTTTTAACTAAAATGAAATTTTTAAATTTTTTTGCATATTTTATCAAAATAATAAAAATAAAATAATAAAGTTACTAATAAAAGATATAAATATAAATAAAATTAACTCACAAATATAAACATCATCATGTCTAAACATATATCACAGTGTAATAGAGTCTATTGAATAAACAAACTAAATAGAGGACAGACGTAAACAATTAAATAAGCACTAAGTTCAGTAGATAATTACAATGTAGATGATCTGGTTTAATTATCAATAATTAACAAAAAAGTTTAACTAACAAACATAGTATACATAAAGAATAATCATTTGTCATACCGATAAAAAAGAAAAGAGTCCATCATCTTTAGTTCTAAATTTGTTTCTAACTATAAAAATGATATAGATCTTTATTTTAGTTCAAAAGATTTTTTGATCAATTATATTTCAAGTATAAAAAATATGGGAGAATAACAAATAAAGACCATAAAAATTACACATACAGTATTTTAACAAGTTTTGACAACTTATAAATAACAATATATTTTTGTGAATATGTTTAGTTTTAAATTTTGCAATTTTCACGTTTTTTTGGTTATTTTTCCCACAATTATAATGATTCTTTTTTTTTTTGTGAATGCTATCTATGTGAACGGTTGGAATAAGTAAAATTAAGATTATGCTATGTCTAAAATGTTAGGGTTTCTTTTTTTAAGTTAAGAAAAAAATATAAAAATTAAAAAAAAATTGGCGGGCCTAAACGGGCCGGCCCGCGGCCCTACAGGGCCAGCCCGTTTATTTTTCGGCCCTACAGGGCTGGCCCTTTTAAGCCCGACTTTCCTTTCAAGACTCCAAAATACAAGCCCAGCCTTCGACTTAAACGGGCTTAAACGGGCCGGTCCGACGGGCTCGACCCGTTTTCCCGGCTTTACATCACGGACACACACTTGTGAAGTTAATTCTTCATTCCCTTTTTTGTTTTTTGTGACGTTAAAAATAGAGCGCGAATGTGCTGCGATTCAAATATCATGCAAGCGAGAGAATGTTCCTGCTTTGCTTACACACCCACACACACACACAATTTCCCGTGTCGGCATGTTGTTTGAGGTTATATATACTGGTGGAAGGACGAGGGCACCAGGAAATTACAAGAGGAGATATAATATTAAGAATGAATGGGTGTGATTTTATAAATAGAAGATGATAAATTAATGGGGGAGGGAACAAACATCTCACCACGATAGAAGGAAACGACATGAGGCTTCCAATGCGGTCATTTAATGTGCATCGTGGCCATCAAGATTCCTTTTGAGTCCACCTTATCTCTTCCCCCCATCATTAATATATGCATACTCTATATTCTGCACAAATTAAATTGCCACGTGCTTTCCCTACCCCTTCCCCAAACCCCTCCACTATGCTAATTTATTTTTTATATATATATATATATATATTTGCTACGTACTAAAATGTCTTGTTCACAATAGTATGTGGTGAATTTAAATTTAACGGTGTTCATCACAAGTCGGGAAAACTTGCTAGCTGCGTGACTTTGTATTCACGAGTCCCCTCATGTCCCGTTATCTAGTTACCACAAAAACAGCATGAGAAAATACCCCATCAATTAATTTTAAGACGTGGCCTGCAGTATTAGTCAGCTAGAGTGGGATTCGTCCAAGAGAATAGGAGACATTGGCCTGCCTCCGTCAACTTTTTCCCCGGCCTGGCCTCGCCTTCCTCCTCTGGTAAAATAAAATAGATGTTCATCTTTAATACTCTTTTAGCCTTAAATAACTGTCCTTTTAAATTCACAGCAATTTATCTAAAACAAAAGCCCCAGCAGCCAGAGCAGGAGATTGTTTTGGTTGTGGGGGTATGGGTCGGTATGTAGTCCACAGGTAAGTGGATTGGACCGGTCCGGTCAACATTTTGCCCGGCCCGGCCCCCCTTGGGCCTCCACAACTGGCTGGCTCATCCTCGCCACCCTTGGTTTAGACTATTGGGCCAGTGCGTACTGCGTGGGTTTGAGACTTGGAGCATCACGCTGAAGGCTTTAGCTCCCTAGCTCCTATGGCTATAATATCATGGAACGCCAAGGAGAAAAAGAAGGGCTTACTTTTCTGCTTCCGTATCACAATTCCCACCCATTACCCAGGAGAACAAGCTTTGGGATGAGAATGGAGCTTTTAATTTCTTAGGCCCAACATCTGAAGGCTCCGTTGTTCCACTATGCTAATCAGCCCAACCCAATAATGCGTCCGACCACCCTGAGATCTGAATCCTTTTCCAAATGCGAGATCATGAATAGTAATGCCAAATAGCCAAGTACTACTATAATCTGACGACCTCGATTTTTAATCATGGACTTAAATTTATGATCGTTACTATTATGAGCTCCTCAGCAAATTATAAATATTACTTTCATCTCTACGCATTATTTTCATGACAATCACGTTTTACTATTTTGTCACCCCATATATTGAATTTTATTCCAACGCGATAAGTATTTGGTCCTCGCACAAAGTTTCATCTCGGTCCTTTTCTCCCCCTCCGACGACCAGGCATCGGTATCACAGCACGATAAATAGCAAAATTTCGGACTTGCCCCAATCTATTTCACAGATTCTCTTAGAGCAGTGGTTAGAAATTAAACGTGAGGTCGGACATTGAGAGGAATGATTTTCGATTTGAGCCAACATTTTAGTTAAAAGATTTTTAAGAAACGGGTAGACTGAGACCGACCGAAGTTCATTATTTTTATTCTTACGAGTCACGGTTTAACAACTGATCAACACTGCTCCCGAGCTTTCATTTACGTTTTACAAATGCTCATCAGTTGAATTTGATATATGCACTCTCTACTAAAAATGATACAACCGATAAGCTGTGGTAGCGGCGTAACACTTGTCATAAGGAGAAACAGATTCAAATTCTGAAAAATATATTTGTTAAGAGATTTTGAAAAAGATTAGAGAATACCATGATTCCGCCTAAAAAAATTAAAATGATATAAAAGAGCAATTGGATGTTTGAATCAAAGTTAAGTTTGTGTCTGTTTTTCTGACCAAATTTAATCTTGTTCGTAAATGTTTGGGAAAAAAATCTTTTCATTTACGCGCCAAAAAATTAAAGCCTACATGCGCTTTTTAACAAAATATAATCACAAGATTCAAAACTAAGAAGGAGGTATTTTCTTCGATTCTATTTATAAAATTTCATTTACAGAGTATAAACAAAGTCTTATAAATAAAACCAGAAATAGTATAATTCTATACTAAATAATCACATCCAAAATTTAACTCAAAAATGCTTCCTTGGCCCACATCGACGCTGTTCCATAATAAAGCGTAAGAGTCATGCGTCGCCACTGCAATCCTCAGTCTCATCGCATCTGGTGATTCGTTGAAATCAGAAGGAAGGAAGCACGAGATTCTGAGGCCTTTCCATGCTACTCTTTTTATTCTTAATATAGGACTTAATTATTGAGTTGGTTTTGGTTTTAAATATAAGATTCATTTATCATATTTATCATTTTTTCTAAATTACCCATATAGATACTCCTTCAACCATAATCAAGTAGAAGAGAGAGATGAGGTATTAAGAAAGATGATTGTGGTGTTTTAAAAAAATATATCACTTTTGTTATAATAACTAACTTACCTAACTTTCTTAATCTAATTAAATTAGTTAAATAGATTTATATTAAAACCAGAAGAGTAACATTTTTGGTCACACAAACGGCGGCAAAACCCCAAGCCACACTCGTATCGTATCTATCTATCGTCAATGGACAAAAATTTTGGAATTAATGTAATATTTTGTTTATTAAATTTATTTTTATTTTGATTTTTATTCTTTAAGTTTTTTATCTCTTAACAGACAAAATAATTTAAATTTTTATTAGATTATAAGAATTAATATTTTAAATAAAAAATTTAGAAATCAAAATTTATAATTAAAAAATTAAAAAATTAAAATTAAAGTAAGAACGGACTTGACGAAACTAAAAACCGTACTGACCTAAAGTTTTCAGATGTTTTCATTCCCGCCTGAGCCCGCCAAGGCGCCAGCCACGACCACGAGATCGCCACGCTCCTCACGCATCCTCTCAATTATGACCCTCCACGCGTCCCTTGCTCCTACGGTTTATACCTTCACTCTCCATCTCACTCTCATCACCCTCCTTATCCTCCCCTCTTCGCCTCGCCACACCCAAACCCCGCCCTTTCCTTCCTCTGTTTCATTCCCCTTCTCATACTTATTCTGCTTCTGCACTTCTCTCCATTCGCCTCTTTTCTCCATTCCAGCTCTGTTATCTTCTTCTCTTGCTAAACCTGGTTTATCCGTCTTGTTCGTCTCGAAATCATGCTTCTTAAAGCTGCTGCTTCGTCTTTGTCTATCTCCAACGTCAATGGAGACCATCTCGGTTCTCTGTTTCCTTCATCTTCGCCGTTTAACTCGTCTGCTTCTTTGTCCTTGATTCTTCCCTTCTCTCCTGGGAAAAATGGAAGTGCTTTAGTGCTTTGCGCCTCTAAGAGTGGGAATGATCGACCCCTTACAGGTGTCCTCTTCGAACCCTTTGAAGAGGTTAAAAAGGATATGAGTCTTGTTCCCGACGTCCCACAAGTTTCTCTTGCTCGCCGGAATTTTTCGGACGAGTGTGAGGCTGCTATTAACGAGCAGATCAAGTACGTTTCTTCACTCTACTATCGGGTGTCCTTGAAGGGATAGGATGTCTCACATGTTTATGTTTCTTGCTCATGGATGTTCCGCTGTCTTCAATTTTTTATTTGCCAATGCTTATCCCTTTTTTTTCGATTGTCTTCTTGCTTTACAGTGTGGAGTACAACGTCTCCTACGTTTACCATGCGATGTTTGCTTATTTCGATAGGGATAATGTCGCTCTCAAGGGTCTTGCCAAGTAGCGCTCTGTTTTCCTTCGGGGTCTCTTTGGCCATTTTCTTCCTCTCGGTCAGCACCGATTAATGATTATGATTTAACAGGTTTTTCAGGGAGTCAAGTGAGGAAGAAAGACATCATGCTGAGAAATTGATGGAGTACCAGGTATCTGACTTTGTCGTAGAGATATAGCAAGAAGTCTTCTAGGTCTTTCTCCTTTGCGGTCATGTTGAATTCTTTCTGCTACACGTGTCGCTGTGAATTTCAGAATAAGCGGGGCGGGAGAGTGAAGCTGCAGTCTATTGTGATGCCACTTACTGAGTTTGATCATGATGAAAAGGGAGATGCCCTATATGGTATGTTTCTACTCGCAAATTTACGCTTGATGTATTTAAACAATTCGCCCTATAATTGAAGACACTCTGGTATGTTAACTGCATTTTTGTGCGTTTATCCTTGTGAGATATGCGGTTGCTGACTTGTTGCACTTGAGCATTTCTTTTTCAGAACTATTGATGCAACGTTAATTTCTAATTTCGCCCATGCATTACACGCATGTACTAAAATGACCGTGATTTATTGCATTGCTCGCTCTTTAACAATATGAAACCTTTGAGAATCAGTAGCCTGGTCTTACTTGCGATGCTTAGATAAGATTCTGGGGGAAGTAGATGCTTTTGCAGGATTTCACGGAAAATAAACGTCCTATAAATAAGGATATGTTGTTAACATATGCAAGCTTTGATTGTTTCTGACTTTCTGTTTGCTGATGGTTTACTTTTAATCATGGCGTGTATGATAATGTGTTCTTTGACATATATAAATTTATTCATTATCTCTGTTAGTTGACATGATGTAGAATACAAGTAAGGCGTTGTTAGTGGATTTTAATTTGTCTGCGGAAATATTCCACTGTTGTCAGCGCTAAACAAAATTATATTTGTTTTTCTGTTACAGCTATGGAGCTTGCTCTATCATTGGAGAAGCTAACTAATGAGAAGCTCCTAAACTTGCACAAAGTAAGACAAGTTAGCTTCATATTCATATTGGATTAACTGCAATGCTTTCTTTTATCTTAGGCATGTATTACGTAGGCATTGTTATAGGGAAAGTTCTTGTCTTATGACTACTTGACGCATGCTGGCTAATAGGCTGCCTCAAAGAACAATGATGTGCAGTTGGCAGATTTTGTTGAAAGCGAGTTTCTGGGTGAACAGGTAATTCAAATTTTGGTGTTGAATTTATAAGTTTGCTCTTTGCAACTGAATGAAAGAGACAACACAAAATTAGCTGTTAATCATTGTTATAAACTTTGCACAAGTTGCATCTGCTTGGATCTGATTTCTGTTATTTGGAATGTATTTACTGTAGGTTGAGGCCATTAAAAGAATGTCCGAATATGTTGCTCAGCTCAGAAGAGTGGGCAAGGGACATGGTAATAATTCAGATTTAGTTTGCATCAAAGTGTTTTCTGTGTTTGGCTTCGCCTTCTTTTTTTCCATTTGTTTACATCTTGGGGCCTTGGTATGGACTTGCAGGTGTTTGGCACTTTGATCAGGCTCTGCTACATGACGAAGCTGCCGCCTGAAGGATTTTTTTTTTTTTTTTTTTAAATTATCAAATTTTACTTTTGTCCTCTGGCCAATTCTCTCTAAGGTCGTTTGTATGGAGTAGTCTATCTGCTTGATTTTGTGTAGTATTATGGCCAGAGGGGGGATTGAAGTGGAAGCTGAAAAACTATCGCTGAATGATTTTGGTCACCGTTATCGTTATATATAGACTCTGTCCGGTAGAGGAGATCATCAAATAGAACATTCTTCCATGGGTTTGCTGTTCAAGTTCAACATCAATATAGCGTCAAGGCAATTAGAAGTTCATCCTGACTTGAGTTTTTCAAACAAACTAAGAGCAAAAGATACGAGTCTCGAAAGTTTATGCCTTAAGTGGAATTTTATTAATGTTCTTGTTAGGATGAACTTTTGGGATGTGTTATTAAATTTCTGATTAACAATGCCTAACTTTGTCGTGATGACCATAGAAGCAAGATGCTTTCAGATAATTGATTTCGATTCAATGTGTCCCCTATAAATCCATCGTGACCAGTGACCAGTGACCAGATGAAGGTGCTCAAGTTTCAGATGGCAATTCATACATGCAAAATAATATTAAAAAAAATTAAAATTATAGGAAAGAAACAAAAGATGAAAAGTAAACTCAATTTTGAGATGTTTTGTTGTTGGGAATTGACCTCAGCAATCTCTCCTTTTGCACGCGATTGATATAAACTTCATTTTGTCATGTAATTTGAGGCTCGACTGAGTATTTAAATTGAAAATACAGGGGAAAAATAGGAGTTAAATAACCTGATGATCAATTCGAATATTCACGCTCTCAATTGTGTCGCCCACTAATTTTATATAATAATACCAGTTTATAGATTTAATCTTGTCAATTTTTTTAATAAATGACTACGTCGATTTCAAAAGCGAAATGACATTTCGTGTTAGATTTACACTTTACAGAGATCATGAACTTCACAATTCAAGTATGGTTCGTGCTTTAAATAAATAGCAAGAATACTATACTTCTTCTGACCCCCCAAAAAAAATATTATAATTCTTTTGTTAACATACTCCTGCTAATTATAAGTCATTTTAACATGTTTCGTACATATTAAGTAAAATTTTAAATTTCATTAATTTTCATTTAAAATTTAATATTTTTTAACTCCATCTCTATTTAATATAATTATACTCCATATAAATAAAATCAACGCAATAACAAATAAAAAATAAAATTATATATCCATATAAAATTTTTTTCCAATACCTTATAAATATGATCAAAAAATATCTTTCCTTATTATCTTATAAGTAGAACTATAAGAGCATGAAATAAGCTCTCCTGTATTCACTTTGGCCAAAAAGGAAATAATTAAGCTATCACACCCGAATGAGCCACAAATAAGTCAACATAAATTATTTAATTGAAAGGGGAAAAACAAATAAATGATTTCAATAACCAGTTGGAGAAAAGACATACGATAATGACAAATGCAGTAAATGTTCTATACCCCAAAAAAACCAAGTAAACAATTGAGTAATGTTGCTGACATGCGTATAAGGGATTGATTAACCATTTAGCGATTCACAATGTGGCGAGACAGCAGAACCTGTGTCAGGAGCTGGTCGCTATTTCATTGGATCTTGATTTTCCTTCCGTATAAACTTCTCCTGCCCGTAGCTGGTTAGATTTAGATTAGATTACTACGTTACAGGTTAACCAGCGCCGACGTTGGAGCCTGCGAACTGTCAAGGAATTCACTAAAAGACAACTATCTGTGTTGGTGGCACCGCGTCTCCTGGAAAGTGAGCAATCCTGGGATGATACGGCCAACACTCCCACCCCATGTTTCAGAGATCCCAGAATTAACACAATTTTTAATTTTATCATTGAATTCACAACCACCTCTCTCTTTGTTCATCTTGGATAACGACATTTTGAAAGAGCTTCCTCGTTCAACCGCGTCTCTGTCTCTCTCTCGACTTTCCATTCCGGCGTAGAAATGGCAATTGTGGTTGAATCTCTCTTCAAAGAAAGAAAGTACCCGTTCGTTTTCGCACTCTTGATTTTGCTCATATGCGTCACGCTCCTCCTCTTCTCTAACTCTACCTCCACCACCACTTTCAACCGCGTCGTCTTCTATCCTGAAGTTAAAGGCCAACCATCTCCGACCCCTTTCGTGGCCCCGATCTCATCAATTCAGAAAAAGACCAAGCGTTACCTAAAAAAGTGGCCCCTGCCACAACCCCAAAAACTGAAGGGCTACCCCAAAACTTGAATCCGATCACGATTCCCAAAGATGAAGGGCCACCCGAAAGCGAGCTTCCGATCACAAACCCAAAGGCCAAGAGCTTCCCCAAAAGAAGGGGGATATCGACATTGTTACCGTTGATGGAATATTGATTGGAAGCTATGCAAGGGTCCAATGGCGGTGGATAATATACCCTGTTTGGACAATTACAAGGTGATCAAGGCTTTGAAGAGTAGGGAGGCACATGGAGCATAGGGAAAGGCATTGTCCAGATCCTACCCCGCACTGTTTGGTGCCGCTTCCGAATGGGTTATAAAGTCCCCGTTCCGTGGCCCAAGAGCAGGGACATGGTGAGATTGATACTTCGGTAAGAAAACTTATTGGATAATGGATGGATTCCCTTTTTGAAAATTTTT